CCCCCCCAGCCTGCAGAGGGGCTGAGCTGGCCCCAGGCTGCTCCCTGGGCCGGTGCAGAAATGAATGCAGGTGCACACCCGATGGCAACGCTTCCTCCTCCTCCTCCTCCTCCTCCCTGGGGCTTCCTCCTACCCCCCTCGACATGGCCCTGCGGGGCAAGCAGCGCTTGGCGCAGGCAAGGAGGAGCACAGAGGGGTGCTGCTGCCAGGTCCTGCCTGTTACCAGTGTCCCCGTCTTGTGCCCCGTGCAGGACTTTGTCCCCAGCCCAGGCCTGCCTGCGGAAAGGGCTGGAGCTGCCGGTTCGGTGAGGCGCTGGCGGCACGCTCCGGGAGCTGCCACGTTCCCCAGCGGTGCAGGGTGCACTAACGCTGCCCGTACACTCCCCGCCAGGACCGCTGCAACTGGTGGAGGGGGGTGACCAGCCACTGCAAGCCAATGGTCCGTATTTTGGCGTGCTTTGTAGCCAGAGCCCCTTGCTGCTGTGGATGATTTCTAAGCAGGCTACGTAACAGTGCCAGGCTGCAGGGTGGGCAGGCAACTGGAAAAGAAGGAAAAAAAAAATGCTACAACCAGACAGGAGCTGAAAGCACGGGAAGAGCCTGAAACCAAATCGAAAGCTAGAAACAGCTCAAGAGACACCCTAAGCAGGGAACAAATATCTCAGGGTGCCCGGGAGGCAGCAGCTGGAAGAAGCAGGGCTATCCTCCCCCCCTCCTCCCAGCCTTGTCTCACCATCCTTTACATGAAATTAAGGAAAGTGGATGGGGAATGGGTACCAAAACCACTGTAGGGCTGCACGCATGGGGGCGACGGCTCGGCTGCTGGCATGAGCCATCTCTGGTTACCAGCAGTCTTTGCCATGTGTGGGGCCAAACTGCTGGGAGATGGTCCCTGGCACCTATTTGGGGGGGGAAAACGCACACTCTCACTGGGCACTCTGCCCCCTAACGAGGGCTCTCACCTTCCCCGGGGTGCTGATGGCTGAGCCTGAGCTCTCCCCAGGCTGGTGGACCGTCCTTGACTGCCAGTCACCTCCAATCCTGGTAAGTGTCCTCCCCTGCAGCCACCTTCTCCCGGCCTGTCCCATCCCTCTGTTCATAGCCAGAGCCAAGGGGTAACACAGAGCGTGGAAAAGAGCCTTTATTTAGAAAGCACGTGGCACCCAGTGCTCCTGGGCCCTCTTCCCTGCGGTCTCCCACCCGACTGAGCCCACTGGCACCCCTACAAGCCACCCGCCCCCACCTCCTGTCACTGTTCCTCTTGCTGTGGATGCAGAGACCTCTCCCCTGGAGGACCCACTGCCTGGCCACGCCACCCACCCCAACCCAAGCACCTCCATCCCCCCCGTGAGCACCCACCCCTGCGCCTGCCCACCA